TAATTACGCCACTGCTAATACAGACATGTGTTTATTATAGCTATATTACCTAAAACTTATTCCAGAAGTAAACACGAACTCCGAAAGTCGAAATACAGAAGCTGTTTAACTATAAATAGAAGCAGAGCTCTCAAGTCATATTGATAGGATACGGATTTCAATGATATTTTAATATAAGATCATTTCTATATGTATAGCTATCCAAAATTATAGATTTAAATGGGTCATCAATTAGTGTTAACTAACGTTGTGAACGGTAGTGATACCTTAGTTTTTTTACAATTTCTACATTATGTTTGTATTTCTATTTTTGTCATTGTTATATCATTGAAAGACTCATATACGTATAATATTTATTGTTTATCCATAACTCTATAAGAAAACGTTCAAAAGAAAAAATATTTTGTATTTTACAGATTAGCAATTTAACGAACATTTTCCTAACCTTACGTATTTTATGACAGCAACATACTTATTGCCTTGGTAATCAGATTACACTATGGCACCATCAAAATCGTGAAAGTATCACATCGAATCAATATTGATGGTTTTTCGTCATAAGGTTTCTGATCACGGCAAAAATAATCTATAATATAAAGGTAAGTCGGTTTTTACATACATATCATACATGTCATATCTTTTAGACTAAAGACTTTCCTATATTATGGCTATATCCTAAAAAAGATCCTAAATATGCCTAAACACTAAATATAATTATTAACGACCAACTATATAAAAATATATATCCATACGTTCGTTTTACGGGTCCGGTCAAGTTAGTAAACATTATTAAAACGACATACGTTGAATAATGTAGGTAATTTGTCATTCGTCATCAATCGTACAATTATCAAACTACTCAAAGAAAGAAACATTCATTACCTATAAGGCTATAACAACTGTCTTAAAATCAATTGATAAAATATTTCTTAGATTTTTTCTCTATTATAGCGGAAATAGGTAAATGCGATACATCAACSACTAATCTGACAAAATATAATAATAATCTTATTTTAGATTCTGAGCGGAGCGATGAATGAATTGATTTTATCATGATGTGTGTTTTTATTTTAGATTCTGAGCGGAGTGATGAATGTATTGATTTTACCAAA